GCTCCACCAAGGGCTCGCACGACATGCCCTTCTTCCTACCTGAAACATGAACATGGCCAGCTTCTCGTTGTAGTCCCACTGCCGGATTGCCACCTCTACATCATGGGGCAAGGGCCCTATAGTGGAACCGCAGCCTCCACTGCCCGCGGGCCCCGGCCGGTAGTATTCAGCCATCTTTTGCAGCTGCTCCCATAAGTACTTGGTGATGATCTGAGTCCACTCTAGGGGAAAGATGGGAAAGGGCCTTATTATACCATCCCTCTACTTAGAACACCTTCTGCCTCCCCTGCCCCCCAGCACCCACACCCCCAATTACCATACTTCTAAATCCTATTCACCCTCTTAGGCTCTAGTTAAATGCCATCCTCCTAGAGCCTTCCCAGGTGTCCCCCAAAGAGAGTAATCTTTCGGGGGCACCTGGGTGACAGTCGGTTAAGCGTCCGAGCTTTGGTTTCGGCTCAGGCCGTGATCTCACAGTTCCGTGAGTTCCAGCCCTGCACTGGGCTCCAAGCTGACAGTGCAGAGCCTGCTTGGGATTCTCTCTGGCCTTCCCCTGCCCACTCTCTCTGTCTCTATCTCTCAAAATAAACTTACAACAAATTTAAGTAATCTTTCTTTCCACTGAAGTCTCAAAAAACCTTCTGCTATCCCTTTTGACACTTACATATGCTGTGTACACACACATATATATATATATATATATATGTGTGTGTACACAGACACACACACACACACACACACACACACACACACTTTCTATGTCTAATTATGTGATTTACACATATGCCTTAGCATCCCTACCTGATTATAAGCATCCTAAGGGCGGGAATAAAGCACTGGTCACCTTGATAGTGCAATACATGCACACAGTGGATAGTGAAGATACTCAATGTTTACCGAGTGAATGCAAGATACAGCAGAGGCAAGGAATACAGGGGCACCTGGGTGGCTCAGTCAGTTAAGTGTCCATCTCTTGATCTGGGCTCAGGTCATGATCTCACAATTCATGGGATCAAGCCCATCAGGCTTCTGCTCACAGCATGGAGCCTGCTTGGGATTCTCTCTCTCCCTCTCTCTCTATGCCCCTTCCCCACTCATGTGCATGCTCTCTCTCTCAAAATAAATAAACTTACAAAGTATTTTTTTTTTAAAGAAAAGCAAGAAATACAGAGGAGGAAGAGGAGTAATTCATTCCAAGCGTCTATCACTCCTTGATGCGATCAATGGTGGGACCCCTGGTATTAGGAGTTACTCACCCATGAAGGGGTCAATGACATGTCTCTTCTTAACCTTGGTCTCACTGATTGCTGCATAGTAGGCACAGGTCATCTTAATGAGCCAGGCAGCCCGCATCACAGGCACTGTGTATTTGGCTAAGTACCCAAACACTTCTTCCTTTTTACTGAAAATGGGGACCTGGATGGACATTGCAAACAGTGAGACCTCTATTACCTCCACAAATTGGCACCCATGTAGCTTAATCTGGGAATAGGATGGTACTTCGTACCCATGCTCCCCACCATGGCCTTTAGAACAGGAAATAGTACCTCACCTTTTTGGCTAGTTGTGTGAGTGGCTTGGTGCCAGCCAGGTCAGTGAACCAGGTGTTAATGGCACTCTGGGATCGTGCAGTCACCAGCCAGAAGTTGTCCTTTTGGTTCACTTGGGGCTTCCTGCGACCAGTGTCAGGGAGGGTGTTACAACGTAACTTCTCTGCAATGATGCTGCTGAAGTTGGAACTGATCTGAGGGAAGAAAACTATATGTCAGGGTGGGAAAGAAGGGGCAGAGAGGGGATCATGGCTTTGATGGCCAAATACCAAGGTGGCAGCAGTAGGTCAGGGAAGAAACCTCGGCCATTTAGGTCATCCCTTTAGGTCTTCCCAGCCCCGGGCCTTTGCTCCTTCTCAGATTCTTCCAGCCTTTTCCTTCAGCCTGGCAGGGTTGTCTCACCTTGGCAGGATTGAAGTTGACGTTCTTGGCACTGCCATGCTCATCCCCAGAGACAGCAGGCTGGTTATTGAAACCTTGTTTTACATTCAAGGCCGTCAGTTCATCCTGAGGCAGGAAAACGATATTTTAGCTCCCCCCCTCCACCCTTGGGGGGGGGTGGTGGTGGGAGAGGAGGGCAGGAGAAGAGAAGGGAACAACAGGGTAAAAAAAGGTAGGAGGAGTATTCTGAGTAGAACAGATTGTTATTTAAAGCTAGGCCCTTATATTCATTTGGACCCCACCCTCACCCCCACAGCCACTAAGATTTCCAATCACCCAGCGCTCGCTCAACATCACTCTTCCTTGTGAGCTTGCGAGCAGCCGCAGCTCCCCAAGCTGCCTCAGACAACTTTCTGAGGTGTGTGTGTATGTGGAGGGGGGCGCCTCCAGCGTGGCCCCTACATCATTCCCTGTTCACACCCGGGAACCCACCGCCCCCACCCAGGTCGCACTCTCTCACACCAACCCACTTTACTCTTACCCCTTTTGGGACTTTGGCTCCCACCAAACCGCCCCGCCCCCCCTTCCCCAAACCATCAACGCTTCCTCCTATGCCGATCGCTTGCCTCAGGCCCCTCCAGAACCCCGATTTTTGAACGCACCTCCTTCTGTTTGGGATCTTGAGGGTACACATCGGGAGGCCCCAGCCGCGGCCGCTTCAGGGGCCGGTGTTCGTAGCTCAAGATCCCGAAGGCCGCCATCTTGCCCAGCCCGTAGCGCCGGAGGCGCCAGCCGGGGCGACTGAGGGGGAGGGGGAGAGGGAACCGAAAAGGGGGCCGGCGGGTGGGAGGACGGCAGCCGAGAGACAACAGGGGGCACGTTAGAAACTCTCGATCGTTGCCGGAAACTACCGAGGGGAACCGAGGGACGCCGGGAACCGTCGGACAATACCGACTGCAGCGGGGGCGGGGCCCAGCCCGGCGTGGGGCGGAGCTCCGCGGGCGCGGAGCGTTTGGGCCCGCGCGGCTGAAGATCGGTTTCGTTCCCTGAGTATCCGCGAAACGTCCTGGAGTCGCACGGTGTGCCGCGGGGTGCGACCCCGGGAGGCGGGAGGCGGCCGCCGCGCCGAGCACGCCGAGCACTCTCTGGAACTGGGTTTCCCATGCCTCGCTCAGTCCTTGGCCTGGAATCAGTGCTCAAGGGCATTTGCGTTGGTGAGGAACTCTGCCTTCTTAGTATAAACCACTTCTCCGTTTCTGAGTTGCTGCATCTGAAAAATGGGCGTACTGTTACCTCCTTCGAAGAAAGGGCTGTCGTGAAGATTAGAAACTGTCTGCATAAGAAAGTACCCATTAAACCCCTGAAACGCCAGCCCTAATCCCTCAAGGTCGTTAGGTTCTGGCACTGAGGTTCTTAACCTATTTTGATTCGCAACCCCTTTAAGATGCTGATAGACGCTGTGGTCCTTCTTCCCAGAAAAATGCAGAGGCGTACGAAATGTTGCATACTTTCCAGGGAAATTCTTAAGAGCCCTTACAGTTCATCGGTGTGTCCCCTAAGTGTCCATGAAACTCCAGGTTGAGAAGAACCCTCGCTCTAGTGAAACAGGCGTCTACTAAGTGTCAGATACTTTCATTCTGTAAACAGCCCCACTGTTAGGGGTTGTAATTGTTTCCATTTTGTGGCTGAGGAAGCTGATTTTCAAAGAGGAAAGGTTCACTTGACCGATATTATCCAGGTACTATGTAACAGAGGTGAGACTAAGATGTTTCCTTGACTCGGGCCAGTACCCTTTCTGCCATGGCATTGCCCGTTAAAGAAAAAGACAGAGTGCTGTAATAAAAGTCACAGACAACAATAAGTTTAAAAATAGTAAAACTAGCAAATACATGAAAGTAACACTAACAAAATGCTATTGAAGCACAGTAGGAAGACAAATTACTTCTGCCTGGGGAGAGGAAAACATACTGGGAGAGGTAACATTTCAGCTAACCCTAAGGAATTTTAACCCACAAAAAAATTAAAGTGCATTAGAACATAAGCACAGTGCCTGGCACATATTTAGGGCCTAATAAATGTTTGCTAAATAATTTCTATAAATGGTGTCTCCAATCAGATCTTGTGTTTGGGAGAAGATAAATCTGGCGATAAGATGAAGAATGGGTTAGAACCCGGGCAGGGGGCCTTTAGAAAGGGAGGCCAGTTAGTGGGTTCTAGGAATAATCACGACCACAGGGAATGAGAGGCTGATTTAGCACAGTGGCTGTGTTCATGGAAAGGAAGACCCTTCTGGGAAAAACAACACAGACATAGGGCTGATTGGATTTTCAGGGTGAGAGAGGGGGAGCAGTTGACAACGACTTTGAGGTTTCAAGTCTGGGTGACTGAGAGGGTGATGGTACATTAACTGAGACAGGGAACACAGGAAGAGAAGCAGAGTTAGGGGAAGATGAGGAGTGTAAAGCCAGTATTGCTGTTCCTCCATTTCCAGAATCTCCTAAGTCACAGCTCCTCACCAGTCTCAACGGGGATCCAGTTCAGACGGCAGCTAAGGGTGGGTCTTCTGGTTTGGATCCGATCAGAAGAAAGACAGATATACATGTGCCCACGGGAGCCAAGACTGTACTTTCCACCCAAGACGGTGGGGCTTTGACCGGGGCTTCAGGGTGACTGAGCCCAGGAAGGAGCATAACGCGGGAGGGAGAGGAAAGTCCAGACCCTCCACTCTACAGGATAAAATGACGTAGATGAGGAGGTGGTTGGGAGTGGTCATGGTGTTGCTTGTGGTGGTGAACAGATAGATCCTTCCCAGGATCTAGGTGGCCTGAGGATTCTGGAGTCTGTGACAGTATTATATGCCCAGCCTCAGTCTCTACTTACAATGCCACTTTACAGTGGTGGTGGTACATCTACAGATTAGATTAACACTTAATCTCCCAGAGGATTTAGCCTGTGTCATAGCACACATTTGCCACACCCTCTGCAAAGCCCTGGTTTCTAAGGTTCTTTCCACCGGAAGCTATGACAGAAGGAAATGTGTGGGTGGGGAGGGGTAATGGGTGAGGGGCCCAGGTTCCTGACAGTCGACACCCAGGGAACGAAGAGCAAGCGCCATGTTGAAGCCACCATTGCCACTTAGATCCCTCTTATTCCTGCAGCTGCCTCTGCTGGGGGTGGGGCTGACCTCGAAGGTCCCCATGCCCAATGGGAATGAAGACGTCGCGGCTGGTGGGAAACCTGGGACTGAAAGGGGTTGGTGAGAGGGGAGCCTGTGGGAAGGGGCTGTACAGAAAGCTTGGACCTGCCATGGGACTTTAGAAGGATGCGGGTGGAATTTAAGAGTACTGCGGAGCAGGAAAGGGGAAGGGTTCTCTGCCTCCTGCTGCTGCTGCTGCTGCTTCTGACCATCATGTCTTGTCTTCCCATCCCCCACTTCATTTTCTCCCCAACCTAGATTTCTTCCTGACTGCGACACCCTCCGCGGCCCTCAGCGTTTCCACCCTGCCACTCCCAGAGGTCCAGTGTTTTGTGTTCAATGTCGAGTACATGAATTGTACCTGGAACAGCAGCTCTGAGCCCCAGCCCACCAATCTGACTCTGCACTATTGGTATGAGGCGGGAAGAGGGGATAGCACAGGGGAGTGGGAGGAGGTGAGCTGGATGGGACTTTGTGGGGACCCAGAAAGAGGGTGGCCAGCATCTCAGCCTCCCCACCATTTTCTAATGGGGTAAGTCACACGTCGGTTCGGAGTGGAGGCTGGGCTGTCTTATCTGTAGTCCCCGTTTATGCCACTGTTCCTCTTCCTCTCAACCCTTCTCTAGGTACAAGAACTCCAACGATGATAGAGTCCAGGAGTGTGGCCACTATATATTCTCTGGAGGGATCACTTCTGGCTGTTGGCTGCAAAAAGAGGAGATCCATCTGTATGAAACATTTGTTGTCCAGCTCCAGGACCCACAGGAACCCAGGAGGCAGTCCACACAGCGGCTGAAACTGCAGAATCTGGGTAACGGGGAAAGGGTGTCAAGAATCCAGAGATATTTTTGCGGGGGACCGGGGAAATATTGTGGGCCGCTGGAGTGTCTGGAGTGGTTGTCTTTCACCTTAAGGGTGCTGAGGCAGAAAGGAGGAGGCGAGGGATCAGGATAGGGAAGGGAGGAGGGTCAGGGGCACTACCTTCAGGATCCTAACTTGTCTAGGCCAGGGGAATAACCGCACACGTACGCACACGCACGCACGCGCGCACACACACACACACACACACACACACATATCTCCAGTGATCCCCTGGGCTCCGGAGAACCTAACGCTTCGCAACCTGAGCGAATCCCAGCTGGAACTGACCTGGAGTAACAGACACTTGGACCACTGTCTGGAGCACCTTGTGCAGTACCGGAGTGACTGGGACCGCAGCTGGACCGTGAGTGACTGGGGTTATGAATGTAGCAGCTGAGGCCAAGCAAAGGGGGAGAGAGTATTCAATCAGCCGCCCAGGAAGGCCTGCTCTCTAGCTCGTGTTCTCTGCCTCCCAGTTCTTCTGCTCTGTCCACTGTCATCCAACTCCCTTTCCTATCATCATCGGTGACTTTCCATTAACGATTCCGTACCCATACTTCCCTCAATGCCTGATAGGCAAGTAAACAAAAGGAAGCCTTCAAGGGGATCTAGAGGGGAGGCATTAGATTCCACTCAGTGAAGGGAGCAGTGTGGCCTGAGTAGTCCAGAGAGGAGGGAAGAACTGGGGAGAACCAGATGACATGTGGGGAGGGGCAGCAGTTTGAATTCTCCCTCCTGTTTTAGACACCCGTCTCTCCCTCACCCTCTTTCTCCCCAAGGAACAATTAGTGGACCACAGACATAGCTTCTCTCTGCCTAGCGTGGATGGGCAGAAATTCTACACGTTCCGTGTCCGGAGCCGCTATAACCCACTCTGTGGAAGCACTCAGCACTGGAGCGAATGGAGCCGCCTGATCCACTGGGGCAACAATACTTCAAAGGGTAAGATGGGCCTAAGGCACCCCCCCACCCGTAAGCCCAGCGCCCCAGCCTTTCTAGCACCACTGCCTTTTGCTCTGCCACTCGACCCCTAAGCCCCCAACATCGGGTTGCCCCATCTCCCCTCACTGTTCAACCTCAGCCCCCAGGTAGCAGGGCTTTTCTGTGTACGATCGGGTCAGTATGTTGTTAGAGTGTGTGTGTGTGTGTGGGGGGGGTGTTGAGAAGGAGGCAGAGGCGATACAGAATGTATAAGATTCCCCTATAGCACTCCCAGAAACCCTGCATGGTAAAGGTGGCTTTGGAAGCAGACAGATCTAGGGTTTAAACCTGCCTCTGCTCCTTACTCCCTCTTTGACCTGGGGCCTATCACTAGCCTCTTTGATTCTGTTTCTTCATCTGTAAAATGGAGATAACAATTGCTCCTCCCCATCAGGAGCCGTGAAGATTAAGTATACGGAAACTGTCTAGCACTGCGCCTGGCACCACGCTGGGGCTCTGCGAACGTTGGCACGTAGTAGGAATGCTACAAATGTTAGGTCTCTTTCTCTTCCTTTTTTTTTTTTTTTAAATAGAGAATCCTTTGTTGTTTGTACTGGAAGCTGTGCTTATCCCCCTTGGCTCCATGGGATTGATTATTAGCCTTATCTGTGTGTACTGCTGGCTGGAACGGTGAGATTTCAGATACCCAGGAAAATGAGGTGGGGGGGGGGCTGGGAATAAATAGTAGAGGAGGATTATCACAGGGGCTCCAGGAGTAGAGGGCAGGACGGTAAGGAATGAGGGGTCACTCCAGTGGGCATGGTGCTAGAAGGAAGCTGCGGGACCAAGGAACGCAGAATCCCTTCATTCCATCCGGGAGAGCTGGGAGACGGGTAACCTCTGTGCTCCTGCCCCCTCTTTCTCCTCTGTCAGGACGATGCCCCGGATTCCTACCCTCAAGAACCTAGAGGATCTGGTTACTGAATACCACGGGAACTTTTCGGTGAGAACATTGTCATAGGCGGACTGCAGTTTGTCAACTAGCGACTGCCTGCCAGCAAGTCAGACAGAGTGTGGGGAGCAGAGGGAAAGGGAGGGGGCCTGCACTAACTGTCAGGATGTGGCCAACCGATTGGGGGATGGGCTGGATGGAGAGCGACACCCAGAAGAACTGATTATAAATTGGTTGAGGCAGATGGGAACAGTGTTCTGGGGGCCCCAAGAGTCTGTGTGTCCCTTCCGTGAGCACTGTAGTTGCAGACGTTGTAAGCGCTCCCTTGGCACAGAGCCTGGGTCTTTTGCTCCCTGCCCCTAATTGACCCCTGACCTGGAGATATCTGTCTTTAGGCCTGGAGTGGAGTCTCTAAGGGACTGGCGGAGAGTCTGCAGCCAGACTACAGTGAATGGCTCTGCCACGTCAGTGAGATTCCCCCAAAAGGAGGGGCTCCGGGGGAGGGGCCTGGGGGCTCCCCCTGCAGCCAGCATAGCCCCTACTGGGCTCCCCCATGTTACACCCTGAAACCTGAAACCGGAGCCCTGATACCCTGACAGAACCCCAGAGTCCTGCAGTGCTAAACTGTACTAACTTCCCCTCATCCAACCAGCCTGGGTCCAATGCTCCAATGCTCACCTCGCCCCCCTGTGGCTGATTGTGAATTTTGTGGCCCCCATAACTCCGCCCGCGCCCCCCCCCCCACATTCAACATCTCCTATCATCCAGTTGGCCCTTTGTCCTGAAGGCGTGTCTCATCTTCCCCAACCCAGCCCTCCTTCCTCACAGGATTGTTTCTCCCCGCCATCCCTCCATCCTTCCCTCCCTCTTTCCCATCTACCCTTCAATTATTCTCGAATCAATGAGAAATAAAGCTTCTGTTGATAATCATCAAGAATGTCTGTTGTTGGGGTGGGGGGCAAGGGAAACGTGGGGTGCAATAAGGGTAGGAGGCATGGTGCTCACGGTAGGAAAAAGGAGTAGTAGACTCGCCATGTGGAAGCAGTAGTACCACAAATGAACCAGAGAAGAGGACTGTTCCAGAAACTTGGCTTTTTTTCTAGGTGTCCTGCACTCCTTCTAGGATGCATTTTAGAATTAGATTTACCCGGCTGCCTGAGCGGCCCAGTCAGTTAAGCGTTTGATTCTTGGTTTCAGCTCAGGTCATGATCTCACGGTTCATGGGTTTGAGCCCCACAGCAGGCTCTGCATTGGCAGCATGGAGCCTGCTTGGGATTCTCTCGTCCTCTCTCTGCCCCTCCCCTGCTCATATTCTCTCTTTCTCTCTCTCAAAATAAAGAAACATTAACAAAAAAAAGAACTAGGGGCGCCTGGGTGGCTTAGTCGGTTAAGCGTCCGACTTTCGCTTAGGTCATGATCTCGCGGTTCGTGGGTTCGGGCCCCGCATCGGGCTCTGTGCTGACTGCCAGCTCGGAGCCTGGAGCCTGTTTCAGTCTGTGACTCCCTCTCTGTCTGACCCTCCCCTGCTCACGCTGTCTCTCTCTCTCTCTCCTAGAAATAAATAAAACATTTAAAAAAAAAAAAAAGAACTAGATTTACCGGGGTGCCCCCGCTCCCAGCAAATCTTTCACAGATCCCACTCAGGTTCCTCTCTCCTTATTCTCACTCCACTTTCTGCCACACATACCACTTCTGACCTCATAATCCCTCAACTGAGGCCTCAGGCCCCACCCCTGGGGATGTTGGTTATCCACAACTGCCAGTAGCTCTCTCTGGGCCTCTTCAGCCTATGTAATCCATCTACCCTTCTAGACCCCCAACCCTATGGGCCCACTTGCACACATACACCCCCCCCCCACCCCGGGACATTTAGAATACTCTCCTTCCGAATGACTCATCAGGCCCCTATCTGAAGAGTGAGAAGGTCTTGACAGCATGTTCATTTTCATCATACATGGAGGTGAGGGGCATCACAGAGCTGGAGCCTGGGTGTAGGGCTGGGAGGTTTGAGGGCGGTGGAGATCACAGGGATGGTAGGTGTAACTGGAGGAGGGCCGCATGGCCCGTCTCATGTCTTCTCAGATAATGAGCAGTTTCTGGCCAATATCAATTGCTCTGTCCTTCTGTTGATGCATTACACCCGCAGAAAAGTAGGGTTGCCTAAAACAGGTGAGGAGTTGGGGGAGGGGACTGACGGCAGACGGTCAGAAGTAAGTAGGGTCATTTCTAGCTCCCAAGCCCTCTGACTGTCAAGAAGAGAGCTCTTTGAATCTAACAGCTCCCTCCAACCCATTAAAGATAGGATCACTGCCCTTTTTGCTCCCACTCTCCTTCCTTAGCTGCCCCAATTACCCTGTGGCCTCCCTCCAGACACCATTGACTTGTGTGATGAAACGGGAACAATGAAGATGTTTTTCGTGCTGAAGACTCCTGGAGACTATGCCAGCAAATTTCTTACAGCTCGAAGCACATACTACGTTTGTAAGGTGGAGCGTGGAGCACGAGGTAGAGGCTTGGGAGCACTCCTGAGAGAGCAAGGCCCTCAGAATGGATTGTGAACCTTGTCCTTAGCATAGGGTCCTCTCAATCAGATCCAAACTGACCATCTCTAGTCAGCCTAAGAAAGAGCACTGCCTCTCTGACAATAGGGTGGGCTTACACACATAATGCCCCCCACCTAGGGTTCATCCTGAGGGGAGGAAATAAGGTACATCAGCTCAAGGTAGTGTTGAGTGCTAGGGTCCTGATATCTTGGGTTTTAGAAGGGCGGAGACAGGGTGACAGGGGCTGGGGATAGCGCACTGCTGTGTTCACAGGAACCCGACTAGAGAATGCCTACAAAGCTTTTGTGCCCCTCCTGAAGAATCCAGAACCTGAGCTACTTGGTAAGGAGCATGATGGAGGAAGGAGACACATGGAGAGGAACTTCTGTAGCTCGGTGATATAGTATATTGTCTGTACAGAGTGGGAATGATGTGATACGGGAGGTAGGATCCCAGGATCCCAGAACGAGGGGAATGTGGCCTAGGCCCACTTTAGGATGGACATTTAGCTCAGACCAGATGGGGCTGTGTGTGTCACTCACCCCTACGCCCACCCCCATTTCTGGAGCATTGTCTTGACATATCTCCCTATCAAAACCTTGTTGTTTCCATCTTGCTCTTCATCCTTTTCTTTTGGGGTCTTGGTGACCCAATTCGCGCTGAAAAGAGCAAAACCTAGGCACCTTCAGATCACTCCTCAGCCTAGCTTTAGGCTCAGTTACTCCAAGTGATCACAGGAATCATGGGAGGGATGGGGTGTGTAGGTAAGACCTCTAGTCCTCAGAGGCAGGGGGGATGGGGGGGTGCCTTTTCCTGGTTCTTAGACAACTTGCGTGCACAATGTGATGTCATGGAGAAGAATCGATTGAAAACGCTTAAAAGCCAAGAAGCCAAGAAAGTTGTGATCGAATCCACTGTGAACATCCCAGTAAGGCTCCCCAACTGTGCTCTGCCCCCACACTCCCCTCTCCCTACTAGCCAACCCAAGGCTCCTGCACCTTGGCCCTCTGGAATGAATTTCCTTTCCAAATCCAACATCCACGCCCAAGACCTACCTGTCTCTGGTCCTAGTTTGTAGAAAGCTTCCCTGTAGGGGCCTCTTTATCTACTTGTGGACCTTTTCCTTTTCCAGTCTAAATCAACGGGAAGATCAGATGAAGAAGGGCCCCCTCCCCCTCGCAGGGGCCTGACCTTTAAGACCCGAGCAGACGTTTTCAGTAGAAAGGATAGACATCGCTAACTAAATAAAGTGGCCAAGTGACAGCAGTTAACACTAGGTACGAAATTGCTGGAATTTAATATGAGGCCCCTTTTCCAAGAAAAGACGCCATCTCCCAAGGTCTGTACCAAGGCTTGAGTATGCCCCAGGCACCGTGGAGGCTCTGAGGGTGGCTGGGAGTGGGCTGGGGGCAGCATATGGGTGGGGGTGAGGAAAAACTGTGAAGTCTCCTACAATGAGCCTTTGAGGGACAGAGGAGGGGGTGGGGTCTTCTCCAACCAAACTACCTCCCCTGGCGACAGCCCTATCAGAGCCCACCTACCACTGCTGGGGTTTGGTGACTGAGTGGCATCTTCCCTCCTCCCCCACCACAATCTACCAACTCCTCCAGCTGAAATCCCCCCCCCCCACAACTTCTCTGCCTCCTTGTCGTCCCGCCCTCCAGTCCTCTGCCTTTCCCCCTCCCTCCCCCTTATCCGAGGGGAGCAGAAAGGCAGCAGAAACCAGAGCTGGTTATAGGCATTTATTGAATTTATTCATTTATTGATTTGACACACTTCCCCACTCCAATCTAGCACATGATACAATCTGGGTAGGCCAGGCGCTGACACAGGAAATGATGGGAACCCACAGCAGGGGAGGGGGAGGGGACAATGCAAAGGGGACTGGGGGAGGGGCTGCTTTGGGGGCTGGGGTGGAGAAGGAGCCCCAGATGGCCACCCTGGCAGGTGCTAGTAAACCTGATCCACATTCCCCTCTGTCCCGCTCATTTCCCAGACCCTCAGCCAAGCTCCCCAGCTCCCCCGTCCCTGTTCCGCCCCTCCCCCTGCCTGCCACCACACACACTTCCACATAACCTCTGTAGTCAGGCAAGGGGAAGAAGGGCAGGGACAGCTGTCAGGGGCCTGGAACAGGGAGGTCTCTGTGCCTAACTTTACCACCCTAAGTCCTTCCCTCTTCTCCCCCCCCCCTTCCACCCCTTCCCCGGCCACAAACTAATTCCAGGCCTTCAATGCACTCTCCCACCATAGCACTAACCGGCAGTGGGTCATGCAAGAGTGTGGCTGCCCCTGGACGCCACACGCTCCCAGACACAAGGTGAATGAGGGGGCCTGGCTTAGCTTTTTCCATAGGGAAACTCTAAACTAGTTCCACCCAGACCTTGTTCTACACATCTCCCCATCGTTGTCGTTGGAGCTCTTTCCCTTGCTCTCCACTGCTGCTCCCCTGCCCCCTGCTCTCTGTTGGCCTGGAGTTCTCTCTCCCCGTTTCCCATGCTTCCCCGAGTAATGTCTGTAGTGTTTGTATCATGTCACTATGACAAAGCCTTCAGAAAGGAAAAAAAAAAAAAAAAAAAAAAAAAAAAGCATTCTCCCCATCACTAGCACCTTGCCACTGTTAAAAATCTCTATGTTTGTGTTTATATTTTTTAAATGTTTATAAAAAGCCTTTCTGTGATCTGCAGCCTTCCAAGGGTGATTTAGCCTGGTGAGCCTCTCCAGGGCTCAGACCTTGGCCCTTCCAGGTCCCTACTACCCCCCTCCCCCACCCCACACCACTGGCCTAGGGGGCCACTGCATAAAAATCCCAGGCCCAACCTAGCCTGGACCAGCTCAGATAAGACTACAAAAAATCCTGCTCCCAAAGGCAGGGGTAAGGCCACTGGTGACTTCACATTTCCAACAGCATTGCCCACCCCTGCTATAAAACCTAGGGAGTGGGAATGGGCCCCCCTCCCCCCGAAGGCTCCCAGGAGGGGGCCTCACCCCCTAATTGGCACAGTGAGAATAAACTGTTTCCCTTTCCCCCACCCCTTTCCCTCCCTCCCCCCCATAGTTCCCATATGGGGCAGTTTTATCTAATTTCATCAACACCCGTGTGAGCAGACCCCACCTTAGCTCTAAAGCAGGGTCCCGAATTCCCAGGGAAGGGTCAAGGGTAAAGAGTGGATATGGGCACGCCTGGCTCCACCTCTGAAGCAGGGGACAAAGCTTCTAGCCACGGCTCAGGGATCTGTGGGAAGAAGAAAACGAAAGACGAGGTAAGAGGCTGATGTGGGGCGTGACAACTTTCCACCATTCAGGTCCACATGCCCCCCAAACAGCGCCAGCCCTTCCCCACAGGTCTCCTGCACTACCGCTAGGGGTGGGCTTTGCTTTGCTGAGGGGCCCGCCCCTCTACTAAGACAATCTCCCTCTACTTCCCCAGGAGCTCCAGCTACTCCTTGCTCTAAATCTCCCCCTTGCTCAGGTCGTGGGACTAGCTGGGCATCAAGGGGGGGTGGGGAGGTGGCCAGAGGTTGTGAGATGCTACCATTGATTAAGAAGTGCCATACCTGGTTCGAAGTTGAAGTCCAATCCCTCGCCCCCATCCATGAGGTCACTGATGATGTTATCCACGTCACATTCCAGGTTCTCCATGTACATATCGAGATCTAGATCCTGAGGCATTCTGTCTTGGCTTGCAGCTTCGGTAGCAGGTGTGAGCACAGGAGTCCCCAGGGTCTTGGGGATGGGAGCACCTGCCATGACGGGAGGTGGCCCTATCATAGAGAGGGTGGGAACCAGACTGCTGGGGCCTGGGGCCTCTAGGGGCTTGGGACACAGGCCAACCCCTGTGGCTAGCTTACTGGAGGAAGGTATGCCCCCCAGCAACAGAAGTGTCGGAGCCTGGGACAGAATGGGATCTACCTGGGTCATGAGGACATCAGCAGGGGGTGGTGGTGTATCAGAGGTGAGCAGGGCCTCCAGAGACTGGGAGCTTGAGAAGCACCCTTCTCCTGCTGACAGGGGCCCCTCTGCTGGGCTGAAGAGGGAGGTGCTGTAGGTGTGTAAGGGACCTGTCACCCCAGGATGCTGCAAAGAGAAGCCAGAGAGACTACTCCGAGAGAGCAGGGAATGGGAAGATGTGAGATTGAGCCCATCTAACAGCTCCAGATCTTCATTTAGAGTGGGAGGGACACCCCCTGCATAGCCGCTGACGGAGGCTGGTATCTCCTCCTCTGCCAGCACCTCAGACTCTCGCCTCAGAGGGGAGTGCCGGGTGCTGACGCTGCTAGCGTTTGAACTGCTTCGTGGACGGAAGGTGGTCCACACATCTGCTTCTTCAGGGTTTCGAGAGCCAGGGCTGCCTGACCACTTGGCGAAGTGGCCAAAGGGGCTCGTCGGAGTGGCACCTTCAGGCGGGGCTGGCAGCACGGCTGGTTTCTTCTTGGGGGCCTTGCTGCGGCCCCGAAGCAGCTTGCTGCTGCTATCCATGGAGGCTGCCCGGCGGCGGGGAGCCTTGCCGCTCTTGCCTCCCTCAGGGTTCAGCATCCACCAGGAGCTCTTGCCAGTAGCCTCGTTGTGAACCTTGATGAACTTGCTGTGCAGGGACAGGTTGTGGCGGATCGAGTTCTGGAGGAGGCAGAGGCAGCAGGAAAGGGGCATGAGGTACGTGCAGGGGAGGTCAGTGACCAGCAGTCCAGTCTCAAAGGACGCTGGGACACAGCAGGGGCATTCCTCAAAACTCAGAGCTATCCAAATCCAGAGGAGAGCAGGCAAAGGTAGGGGCAGGGAAGTGGGGGGGGGAGACCATACACAGTGCCCACCCAAAGGCAAGCCGCTCGGCCTCTGCTCCAGACTTTTGGGCACAAGGGCCCAGGAGGCAGCCTGAGTAACAACCTACTGCAGAGGGCACAGGGCCTGCTCTGGAAAAGCTCACAGCACTGCACTCCCGCCAGGTCTCTGAGGGGCTGTCTGGTGCTGGTGGTCACTGGGGAGAGGTGCTCCTGGTTCAGCAAGAGTGACGATTAGGTGGGGAAAGAGAATTCCACAGCTCCAATCTCTTTCCTTGAGCGGAGGCTTGGGTGGCGTTTACAGGAAAGTGGTGGAACACCAGCCCAAGACTGACCCACCCGGTCTTGAGCCAGTTCTCTGAGTAGGCTGAGGGGCCAGACCCTCAGCAGAGATGGCACTCTACCCCCCACCAGGGCACCCGAGCCCCAGCCCTCCATAGGATTCGCAGATTCCTCTGTTCCCGATTCCTCCCGATTCCTGGGCACACACCCTCAACCACACTCAGGCCAGGCTTCTCACCATGCCTCAACTCCACAAGGCACATTCCTCGTCCTAGGACGGATCTCCCGTCCATACATTCTGCCAGTTCCTCAAGACCAAGCAGAAGTCCCCTCTCTCCTATTAAGTGGCTGGCTGCCTGACTTCTGCAGCCAAATTTCTTGTGTGGTATTTTCAATCTGCTCTACACCATCTTACCCGACCTATATTGTATTATTTCCCATTTCATGCAATTAGACACATCAGGTACAAGCGCCCAGGGTGCAGACCATCTTGTCCAGTCAGGCAGCCCTCAAACGGTGCCCCCCTTAGAGTGCCAAGCTGCCAGTAACATAATCGATAGTTACCTTTTTGGTGGGTGGCCCCTTGAGGCTCTATCGGCTTTGGAGGGCCTCCGGTATTAGGAGCTCCATGTTCTCCCTTCCTCCTTTCCTCCCTCTGTTCTCCCTTACTCCCTCACTGCTGATATTCTGTGAGAGATAAGTTGTTGTTCTTTTTGTTTTTTTTCCCAGGGGCCTAGGGAGCTGAGATTGGTAGCTTCTTGAGCCCCCAGAGCAGCTTATTTCTACTGGTTGCCCCAGGCTAGTTACACCATCCCTTTGTGTCCGCCCCCCCCCCTCCCCTACTCTTTCTTACCTCCTTTCCCCTACTTCTCCTCAGGAATTTCTGCCTAAGATCTCCAACCTTAGGGGCATTTGACCTCCCACATGGAGCTTTTCTTCAGTGTTTAGAAACTCAGGAGGAGCCCGGAAGGGCTTGGAGTAAAAACTAGAGGTTGAGGCTATGGACAGTCAGAAACACATGAAGTGATTTCTCACTGGTTCTCCAGATAAGGAGACCCTCTGCCTGGGAAAAGATACTTAAGTAGCTTCTTGTTCCAGGGCTCTTTAGGCAAAGAACTCCTTGTTTTCCTTGGGACCCTTCGGTAATGGCATTCCAACCACACTGGCTGCGTTGGTACTCCTGGTTCTTTCGAGGAATCCCACTTGTCCACCTAGACAG